TCACAGAACATTACAGAAACACTGGCATGTATATGATTTTAATTTGAGCAGGTATGAAATATTACTGATTACTTTGCATCCATTTATGTTTTATTCTTGGTTGTTCGTCTGTTAGTTGATGATTAACTTAAAGTCATACTATTTTGGTTAAATATTTTATATGTAAATAATAATAACATCACTTAATCAATGTACATTCAAATCATCTATCAGTACTGTCTCATAAAATCTGCTTAGAATTTTGGGTTCCATTGTTTAGTTACTTGTCAGTCTAGAGCTATAGTTAGTAAATTAATGATAAAATAATTAAACATATGTTTGTATTATTTTATTGAGCTTATCTGATAACTGATGATATATTAAAATGTTTACAATTGATAAGAAGCTTTGAAAACCAATTCACTCAGTAATTTATGCTATTTTAGTTTTGTTTTATCAGCACTTGTATAAAAGTGAACGAAATCGAACTACTGGTTGTTGAATAAAATTCATTGTTTAAATGCTTAGCTAGTTGAGATTAAGCTAATTCGAAGATTGATTGCATCCCAGACCGATGTAAGTTGAATGGTTCTTTTGGAATTCTTATAAGTCACTAAAGAAGACTATCTAGTAGGTAAACGCATATTGAAAAATGACTGTCATTTACACATAAAAAATTCACCCCCAAAATGCTGATCAATCAAATTAGAAGTGACTAATGAAAAATGAAAGTGAAGGTCAAAGAAATAAACAAATGATTTTTACTGACCTCTGTTTTATGTTGATCAATGTAATATTTTGTAGAATACATTAAGCTACTTGTAAGTAGTTAAATGTTTTTTTCAAAATAGGTTTGAATGATGTACACAGTCTAAAATACATTTATTGTTTACGACTAAACAATACTATTGTTTAAAGTAACTTAATGAACAACTTGCTGTGAGCATTATAGTTCACTGAAGCCATAAAAACTTTAGTATTAACTGATGTAAGTCTTGACCCATTTAAATTTGCGAAGGGGATCAAATGCACACAAATCCACACAAATCATAAACAAAATTATTTATGGTCTTTTTTCAGTATCTATTATAACAATACGAGAATTACTGTCTGACCAAGGTATCCCTGATGTTTTATTAATAACCAATGAGAGTCAGACACAATATTACGTTGTACAGTCAATTATATGATATGAGAATTGCTAATGGATCCTTTTTACGGTAACTGCTGGTTCCAGGCCTTCGCAAACCTTGCGATGTCATCTTGTTATAAAAAGCCTTGCTAAAGAGTTTTAATAAGAGAAATTATTTAAATCATTTAGACTCTATATTGAGAGCTAAAGGGTCTAAAGCTAGAAGTTATATAGCCTCATGGTGAAAGCCAAGATTCTTTGAAATTCGCAGAGCTGATGCTCCTTCTGAAAACTGAATTAACAATAAGAACAAGTATGTGAAGTGTTCCAGATAATTTACTAGACCGAAAGAGCCATTCAAAAGCAGTGGAAATGAGTTGATGCAAACCAGTGGGCGCTTGTAATAAATGAAATTTATTGAATATAATGTGAACTGAAAATGACAACGTACTCTGGTCATATGAAAGAGAATCCCCTACATAAATAGGGACTTGCACTAATGTTGCTCAAAGAAAAAGAAAAAGCCCTTATATGATGAGAAACTTGTGGATCATTTATCGTCAAAGCAACCTTCGAAAAAAGGAGGAAAAGTGATGGTAATAATTATATTTTTTGTCATATTCTGATGAATAGAAAATTACATTTTCAACGTTTCATGATTTGACGTAAGTCATTTCTGTAAAAATACCATTTTCTACTAATTGCAATATAACAAGAAATATTGTCAATATCACATTTCAACTTAATCCAAAACTTATTTGAACCTACAAAAGAGGAAAGCATTTCAATCAATGTCGATAGAGCAATGACAAGAAGGAGCTAGTCTGACTAAGGTGATGTATTTGCGCTATACTGGGAGAAATACAGTTGCGATTTCGATATATTTGTTTACCTATGCATTCTATACTCGTTTAGCGAGCTATACGAAAAATAAAGGACATTACAAATAAACTAGTAAATTAAGCACTAGTAATCACTTCGAATAATAAGGCAGATTTCAACAAGTCTCTATGCTTATATCTAGTCCATAGGAACTTAATTCATGAGCAAGAATTCGAAAACCACTTCAATGTAATAATACTTACCAAACGAAGTTAACAAGCGTTATCCAGTCATTTCATCGTTGTCATTACACTGCTTACTAATTATAAATAGTACGAATGTAATTTCAATGCACGTAGCCCTCCTAAAGTTACTGCGGCAGAGGGAAATATGAAACAACTATGTGACACAACGAAGTAACTAACAAGGAAATATGGTAAACCAGAGAGATCAGTTAAGTACAAAGAAAGAAAAACCAATCACCGAGACTCAAAAATATAAGAAGAGATGGGTGGAACATTTTGACGAACTCTTCAATAGATCAGCTATATTGTAACCACCAAATATCGAAGCAGCACACACAGATCTTCCTCCTGTAGATGTCACTCCCCAAACGATCGAAGAGATCAGGTGGTCATCAGACAATTCAAGATTGCCGAAATAAAAGCACCTGACAACATACCAACCGAATCACTGAAATCAGACATAGCAGTAACTGCAATCATGCTCCACCTTCTACTCTGGGAGATTTGTGGGCAGGAACAAGTGACACCGATAGACTGGAAAGAAGGACACCTCATCACCACAAGATTTCAATGAAAGGAGATCTGAGCAAATGTGAAATCTACACATCACTACCCACGCATCACATCACTGTCAGTTCCAGGAAAGATTTTCAACAGAGTGTTGCTGAACCGGATGAAAGATTCGGTAGACCTCCAGATCAACAGACTGGATTCTGTAAGCATCCTTTATGCATAGACTGGATCGCCACACTACGGATCATCGTTGAACAATCAATTGGATGGAACTCGTCACTATACATCAACTTACTTGACTAACAGAAAGCGTTTGACAATGTAGGTAGGAGAACATGATGGAACGTTCTTCAACACTATGGAGTGAGCGGCTGAGAAGATCGTCAACATCATAAGGAAATCATACGACGGACTACAAAACAAAGTTGTCCATGGAGGACAGTTGGCCGTTACATTGCAAGTGAGGACCGGAGAAAGACAAGGCTGTCTAATCTCCGCCTTCCTCTTTCTTTTGGTGGTTCACTGGATTATGAAGACCTCGATATCTGACGGGAAGCACAGAATACAAAACAACTGCCAACCAATGTCATGGTCAGAATCTGGAATTATTATTATTATTATTATTATTATTATTATTATTATCGTTTAAACATGATTGTTATTCTCTCCAATACATGATTTACTTACTTTTCATTCATCCCTTCTTATTATGTCTTACTAATTATTTTTTTTACACAATACAGTTTTCCATTAAACATTTGATGGAATTGTAAGTGCACTGTTATATCTCTCACCCTATCTGACCCACATTTATTCTGATCATGAATCTTAAAATTTTCATTTAACATATAAACTGATTCAAGTTAACATTCTATTTGAGTCCATGGTGGTCTAGCTTCAATTGACTCATGAATTCAACTATAAAATTATGAAAATCTCCACAAAATCCCTTCTGATAATTCTATTCTATTTTGTTTGACAATCCTAAATTCACATGCTTTAACTCTAAACGATGCACTTCATCCTTAATCTGTCCATTTTTCGGATTATTAATTTGGATATATAATTGTAGAACCTGAAGAGAATTTATCGGAAAGAATATTCTTCATTCAAATATTAGTTTTTGAATAATGTTTGTCTTAATTACTATTTAGACGATAACATTTCAAGACTTTTGTATATCTTAACAATATACAGTTTGAACAAGCGCAACGTGTAGTTTTATGTAAATCCCATCTAAATCAGTAGAATCCAGTAAGCTCTTCAGGAAAAGATATGAGCTTATGCAAAGTTCTCGAGACTGCAAAATTGGATTAAACAAACAAACAAACAAACAAACACATTGGTAATTTACGTTGCTGTATTTCATGTGCAAGCAGCGAAATCTTTTTTTTTTGTAAAACTGACAGGCACTTCACAGTATACACTTTCTTATCATATTCGCAAACTTTGTAGCAACTGAAAAGCGTTTAGAGCTACAATGAATATACATAACCTCAAGTCACAAACATCATAGGCTTGGATGATATTTAGAAGTGGAATTCTGGGCACGTTTCGTCCTATTTGGGACTCGTCGGTTGGATATACCTGCATCTCGGAGTTGATGTTCATTTCGGGACTCGAACACAGTACCATCCGTTTCAAACACCATCGCGTTATCCACTTAGCTACTGAATCCAGATAGTCACCAGCTTGTGCAGTGGGGAGAAGTTTGATTCATTTTAGTATTGATTTCTTGAATCTTTCCATTGATGTTTAAGACTGTGATTAATTCGTCTCTTATTGGCATATTTGTCTTGGAGTGGACACCAACTATAGGATGCACGTACATGCAGCTGACGAGTCCCAAATAGGACGAAACATGCGTCCTAAATTCCATTTTTAGACACCATCATCTCATCTTATAAGCAGCTGATCATTAAACCAAATACTGCAGTTGTATATCAGGGCCCTAACTAAGTATATAATGAACCGTTGTATAGATGTTACACAAATTAGTGCGATTTATTATATCAGACTAATAGAGTAAAACATAATTCGCAATACTATTGATTCCTTTGATGATGATAATCTAAGCTGTAAGATAAAGCTTTTTATTAGTTCTCATCTATCGAAGAATGTTTTAATCATTTTAGCTTAGTCATATCAATATTTCAGTTTATATTAAGCCTAAGAAATTATTATTGAACATAAGTAGCGGTAACAAACAGAATGAAATTTTATTGATTACATTATTTATCGCTATGTAATTGGTTGATTAAGTATGTCATGTGAATAGATTGTCCCACCAATAGGTAAGATCACTATTAGAACTTCCAATTTTTGTGAATTTGCGTCTCGTCAATATGCACCAAATGAATAAATATCATGCAGGCTATAATCATTGGATTTACCTTATCGTTCATTAGTACCTTCAAATCTACAGAATCTTATCCTCATTGTTCAAATATTACCAATGTTCAACGTTTAGATTGTTATCCAAATTTTGGTTCTAATGAAGGTGGATGCATCAAAAGAGGATGTTGTTGGGTGCCTAAAAGTGGAAATAATGAATTACCATACTGTTATTTTCCAAAAGATTATTCTGCATATATTGTATTATCAACTGAGAAGACTAAACGAGGCTTTATTGGACAATTAAGCAAACCTTATCCAACCTATTACCCAGATGAAATAAAAAGTATTGTCGTTGAAATTAGAGAGGAGACTTCCACTAGACTTCGTATACGATTTACTGTACCTTCACAGCCAGACAGATGGGAACCACCTATTCCATTGGGAAATGCGGATGATACTCCCGTAAAAAATGTTCAATACAAAGTTGACATGGAAAAATCACCCTTTGGATTAAAGGTAAGACATAAGTTTTTGTTGCGTTTAGAACACTAATAAGCTGTCAACCGTCCTGATTTTCGTGTATATATATACCACTTTATCCAATCTTGATGATCCAGACTTGCAAAATACTGTCAATATTTATCTGATAAAACATTATTTAAGTGTATACTGCTTTTTGTGGTGACTGCCTTCAAACAAAGCAAATGATGGGGCTTATTCATCAAACCTTTCGGTTTATTGGGAATGAAAATTTGTGGTCCGTTCTTTAAGCAGGTCTATATGAAATTATTTTCATTTAATTAAATCAACAAAATTGGCACCTACCTACCGTTCATTCTTTAGGTCATTATCTGCAACTGACATAACCTGATTACACGTTTTTAGTGGTTTCCAGCTGTTTATTTTCACATGAGAATACATTTAGATAATTAGGATAAACTAATGTGTCATTGAATAAAAATAAACAGAATTCTATGAAGAAAGTTTTTGACGAAATCATTTACTTAAGATGTACATTCTTGAGATGGTGGAGAAGATTTGTAGCTCAGGTGGATGATTTTGGTAGAGTTTTTTTCTCTGAGCTGGATGGAGCTTTCATCGTTCTTCTGAACGACATCATCAGCACAAACTTCAGATAGAAGTGAAGTGTTTGAATTTCTCCATATGTGTCTCAAAGCTTGTTCTGTGCACCTCGACGTTGATTGGTTCTTATTGACCTTAAATTTGTCGTTGTTTACTTCTTTGTTTTGGTTATGTCTCTCATTGTTTTGATTTTTGTTCTTATGTTTGTGCATGATTTTTCTGATTGGTTGATAAATTGGATTGATTTCAATATGCTTGTTGATTGCTGATTGACCTGGGTGCCAGGCTTCTGAAAATTCTCTGGTGTTTTTGGAGTTTCCTCTGTCTAAGATTTCCACATTTTTCCAATCGAATGAGTGTCCGCAGTTGTCCATGTGTATTGATATAAGTGAAGAGATATCATGCCGTTTGACAGCTAATTGATGTTCATGTAGGCGAAGGTGAAGAGGGCGTCCGCTTTGTCCGATGTAGTGTTTTTCGCAGTTGGCACAATTTATTTTGTAGATGATGTTTGATTTGTTTTCCTTTGTTACTTCATCTTTTGGTTTGCATAAGATTGATTGTAGTGATTTTGTCGGTTTGTGTGCCACACCTATTCCGAAGGTTTTCAGCATTCTCGTCGCGGTTTCTGATATTCCTTGTATATATGCTAGGGTGATCCTTTTGTTGATTTTTGTGCTTGACTTGAGTTCTAATGCTGCGTGCGGTTGGTATTTTTTGATGAAGCTGATGGGGTAGCCGTTCTTCTGAAATACATCCTTTAGGTATTTCTCTTCATTTCTTCGTGCTGCCAGTGTGCTGCAGTGTGTCCTCGCCCTCTTGAACAAATTGTGTACGCAGTTGATTTTGTGACCTCTTGGGTTGTTGCTATTGTAGTTGAGAATTTGATCCGTATGGGTCGGTTTCCTTGTCAACTTTGTTTGTCAACATTGCTTCTTTAGCAGGTGATGATCTGAAGCCATGTCAACTCGTCTCTTGGTTCTCGCATCCTCCATTGACCTTGTGAATTTATTACTGATGCATATATGATTTATCTAGTTCCCCATAGTATGGTCCGATGAGACCCATGTAGCTTTGTGTATGCATTTGTTTGGAAATTAGTACCACATGTTATGACTGGTCGTCGCTAATGGTTATGTCGGACTCACTTGTTACTTATGCTTGTGAAACGAGGAAACACTACAATCCTCACGATGCTAGTAAGAACATCAAGATTGGTACAAGTGAAGATTACTGAACCCTAAAAGCACGACCATCCCAGTCAAAAATACACTCATTTGTATATTGATTTTACACACATTTTGATTAATAATTAGGATGAAATCACGTATATGAAAAATACTCAGAGTTATAGCAAATCAGATTCCCTCTTTTGTTTTGAAGGATGCTTTGATGATTCCGGGTCCATGAGATTATCATCCTTTATGTGCTTTTAACTGATTCCGATCACTGTCGAGTTGTGTCTCCTTAATTTCGTATGTATTTTACTGGTAATGCCGGTCTCCCACATTGTCCTGACATTCCATGCACCTATATTAATTTTTGGTCTGGTTGTTAGGGGGAGGATGGTCCTCACAATTTCCGAAGAAACTCGGCTTTCACATTGCGTATCATAATTCTTCTGAATGAAGATCGTTTGACTGTTTGAAATTGTTTATTAAGTTTAGCATATTTTTAGCAAGGTTGTTTTCTACGGGATGGGGTTTCTGACCCGATGCTTATGTTTTCTCCTTTACCAGGACAGGGCTTGAAGCGGCAGGCAGTAACTTTAGGAGAGCTACGTTCATTGAAATTACATTCGTACTACTTATAATTAGTAAGTAGCGTAGTGACAACGATGAAATGACTGGATAACGCTTGTTAACTATATGTGGTATTATTACATTGAAGTGGTTTTCAAATTCTTGCTCATGAAGTAAGTTCCTATGGACTAGATATAAGCATAGTAACTTGTTGAAATCTGCCTTATTATTCTAGGTTATACCTGCATAGGTAAACAAATTTACCGAAATCTGCCAGTGGTATATAAAAATCTGTCAAATAAGAACTTTCTGTATAAAGCATAACTCCGACCCAAACTTGTACGAAATATTTCGTTTATTATCTTAATAACGTCTAAGAACATAGATATACAAATTTCAACTAAACTTTTTTCATGAAGTCTATGTAGTGAGTCATATTTCATTTTTACTGCGATCAAAAATACTAATTTCTAGTTGGTTGATGGCTCTTTCAGTACACCAAAGTTTTAGTTTATTCATAGGTCCTTTGATCAAATATTTATAAGCATATGCTCCTCATTTTTATCCATCTACCTCGGTTATTACCAATACTTTTTACATATGAGATTATTTCTCCGGATTAGCTTGTTGTATGAGAAGTAAGAGACTATAATACCCAAGTACTAGAATTAAGAGGACAAGAACGAAGAATTAAACAGAATAGCATGGATTTATTCTTTATGCTTATATCAGCTGCTTACAATCTGTAGCACCGTAAAATCAAAGTTGTCATAACGTTAACATAATTATAGCCGTGAAGTTAGTTAAATGGGGATGTGCTTTTTAAATAAATGTAATGTGATTGTTATGATATAAAGTGTTGCAAATAGCTTTAATATGCGGGTAACAATTTTGGACCATCAAATACATTAACAAGAGACTATAATGCAGAAAACCAGTTGATTACGTAATGAAATAACTAAATACAAGTAAATGACAATTCAGAGTAACATGAATTCAAGCCAGTCAGTTAAGAGCAAAATTGTGAATTTGAAGTAATGAAAATGATCCACCCGAAGCAAGAGGCAGTGTTGCATGAATTTTGTAATAAAACGAGGGTAACGTCGCCATGTTAACTAAAGATTTTCATTTTGGATACATAAGTCCATCTTAAGATGTCTGATAGCTATGCTTTTGGCAAATTTAAAAAGAATAGAGTTTGATTGCTGATCGAGAATCTTGTAGGCTCTCAATACATCAACCCAATGTCCTGTCACATATATTTTGAAATAGCACTCATGTAAACCTTTGATTTCTTCTGACATATACATTTTTGCGATGTGTTCTTGAAATCCAACATAGTCCGTTCTTTCTGTCCTATTGTAGTGAACAGAACACAGTTGTGGGTAAATGAACTGTAATAAACACACAATTACAGAGTTACTTCCTAAAACGGAAAAACCATATAGTAAATCGTTAATTTGCAAAATATTAATCCATCATATCAAACCAGACTTTTCCTGTTGTAAACATCAATCCATTATCTCACATTTCATTGTTCATGCGTTTTCTTACAAATTGCATTGTGTTCCCGCTATTCCTTTCTTGATCTTCCCCCATCTTCTGCTGCCAGACATTACGTTTTTAACTTGCATCATATCTTACTTATATCAATATACGTAGCACACACCATACTACCAGTGCAACTATTTGGGTAGATTCATGTAAATTTATGTGTTCAATTGACACTGTCGTATAAGGTATAACATTCTATCCTTGACTGTAGTAAAGAACACGTTTTGTACAATATAATCAGTTTGGTTATAGGATAGGTTCTGGTCAGTGTGAGTCTCCATCTTTTCAAGCGTTTAAGCAAAGTCTTGCCTTTGAATTCAAGTTGAATAAAAATAGGTTTTTGTCTGATATGGTTACTTTAAGTTTTCTATTTTTATTTTTCCCATATTTTCCAGCCAATTTCTGTGGATACCCATTGTTCCCCAGATATTCTTTAAACATTCATTAGTTCTTCTGTTGTATCAGTGGTACATACCCTTTCCTCTTTGTGAAATAACGTTTTCATAAGTGATTTTTCGTAACTAATTTGAAGAAAGATATTAAAGTGAAGATCAACTCCATTCAGTGTATTCTTTAATAAACTAAACCTTGTAGCGTTCTTCCTACATTTTATAGGGATATCGAGAAATTAGAACTTGTAATCTTTTTCATGTTTTATAGTAAACTGAATAATTTTATGAACGACATTGAAATCGATTAGCAAATGTCTTACTTATTGTTGATTATTTCATATAGTAAAAGTATCATCAGCATACCTCGCATAATACACTACGAAATTAGTTTCTCCTTTAGGCTTGACCATTTCAAGATTAGCCACGAATATATCTGCTAGGACATTATTAAATGAACTTTCCATTACTATACTATAAGTTTGATGGTACATGATGTTAACGAACTGAAAGTGAGCGTCTTTCGTACACATAATTAGCTGTCTTTTGAGTCCTGATACGAGTAAATGTGCACGGTCAGATTGCTCTCAAATTATATCTGGGGTTTCAAGAAGTGATGGTTTGGTAAACAAGGAGTTCCATCAAAAGAAACTGTTGAATTGCCAGTAATGTCTATATAGGTGAAACTGTCAGGAAATTAAAACTAGGAGTTATTGCAGTCTATGATATAGTAATCATAACTTACCAATTTACATATCAGTTAACTGATTAACTCGTCATGGATATATAAGATGTTTATAATAATTATCATTTTATGTTGAATAAAACATTAAAAAGGTTCACTAAAGAACAAACTCAATGAATCGAGATTCGCTCTCGCACTATAATCGTTAAAACAATACAAAATAGGAATATTACAATTTTTTAACCATAGGAATCATAGAAAATATGATTGACATACAGTGTGGTCACCGAGTATCAAATGTTGTATGTGAACAGGTTGAAAAAGGAAACCTAAGGGTTACTTAGACCATGACAAATTAAATTCTTAAATATATTTATTATTTGTCCAACATTTTCTGGCACTTGACGATTACTGAATTCACCGTTTCTTAATCTTCCTCTATATTTATTCTATTTGTTACATTCACTATGCTATCTTAGTTTACTAGTGGTATTAACTTTCTTTTTTCCTAGTTTATTTCGCTATTCAGAAATATTAATAGTCAAATTTGATTTACTAGTCTTTTAGACAAAATCACCTTTTTTTAAATGATTTTTATTTTATAAAAACTTTAGATAATAAGAAATACTAAAGAGCAAGATGTACTTTTGGACTCAACTGGACAGTTGGCTAGTTCGCTTATATTTTCAGATCAGTTTTTGCAGATATCATTTCGTGTGAATGCTCAAGTAAGCTTTGGTCCTGGGGAAATAGAACAAAAATATCCAAACGCCTTTGATACGTGGACGCGAGTAGCTCTTTGGGGTCACGATGGAAATCCACAGTCGTATGCGAATCTATATGGAACTCACAATTTCTTCATGGGTTTAAAGTATGATGGCACAGCATTCGGAATCTTCTTTTTAAACAGCAACGCACAAGAAGTAGCAATAACACCTCTACCAGCCATCACATATAGAACCATTGGTGGAATATTAGATTTCTTCGTATTCACTGGACCAAAACCACTAGATGTGATTAATCAATATTATAATCTTATCGGTCATCCAACGATACCCCCATACTGGTCACTAGGATTTCATATATGTAGATATGGAATGAAAAATCTGGATGAAGTCAAAGAAGTCCTCAAGCGAAATATGGAAGCTGGAATTCCGATAGATGCTCAGTGGTTTGACATTGATTATATGGATGCATACAAAATTTGGTCAGTGGACACGAAACGATTTGATGGAATGAATGTTTTTGTTAGGGATGTTTTACGCAAGAATTATAGTATGAGAACAGTGTTGATTGTAGATCCAGCTATTAGCACAAAAGGTGGTCCCGGATATCGTCCATATGAGGATGGCATGAGACTCGGTATTTTCATTAATGATAGTCGAACCGGAACACCGATTCTAGGTACCGTGTGGCCAGGTGAAACAGTTTTCCCAGATTTCTCACATCCGTCTGCTGAGGATTGGTGGTTCAAGTCGGCGTCTGATTTCCACAAAGTGATTAACTTCGATGGTTTGTGGATAGACATGAACGAACCGGCCAATTTCGATTGTGGTTCACTCAGTGGTTGTTCATCATCGAATACCCTTGACAATCCGCCTTTTGTCCCGAAAATTCTCGGAAACTCATTATACGACAAGACAATCTGTCCATCAGCCTTACATTACAACACAACACACTATAATTTGCATAATATATATGGTTACGATGAAGCACGAGTGACGCACAATGTTTTGACTCGAATGTTTCCTGATAAACGACCTTTCATATTGACACGTTCAAGTTTTGCAGGTTCAGGTTTGTATGCCGCTCACTGGACAGGAGATGTTTTATCGAATTGGGATAGTTTGAAAATGTCTGTGGTTCAAATCATTAACTTTAATATGTTTGGCATTCCGATGGTTGGTGCTGATATATGTGGATTTACAGGAAATACAACAGAAGAACTGTGTGTCCGGTGGAGTCAGTTAGGTGCATTTTATCCATTTTCCCGTAATCACAATGAAGATGAGGCTATGGATCAAGACCCTGCATATTGGAGTAAAGATTCTACTGAGGCAATCAAAGAATCCTTGAAGTTAAGATACCACTTACTACCGTATATATACACTTTATTTTATAGGTCGTACTTAAATGGAACAACAGTGGCTCGTGCCCTTGCATTCGAGTTCCCTGAAGACTTGGCCACACATAAAGTCGATTCACAATTCATGCTCGGATCGTGTATCTTAGTTACTCCAGTGCTAGATGAGGGTCGGACATTCGTTGAGGGTTACGTTCCATCAGGAGAATGGATTGAATTATCCACTGGCAAACGGTATTTCAGTCGAGGTACATGGAAATATTTTGATGCTCCTCTGAATGTCATTCCGATTTCTATTCGTTGTGGCTGTATAGTTCCAATGCAAGTTTCTGCTGAAACAACAGATATCGCTCGTAAGAAGGGATTTGGTTTATTTGTGATCTTGTCTTCAACTGATGATGGAAGCAGTGCTGCTGGTCAGAGAATCACAGCATCAGGTGAATTATTCTGGGATAATGGAGATGATGCTAATTTAAATTATGTACATGTGAAATTTGAAGTACGTGATCGCACTTTAACAGTGACTTCTACACCTTCGAGTGTTGAAAGCTTAGAGAAAATTGATTTGAAAGAACTAGATGTTAAGACTATTCTTATAGTTGGTTTCATTAAAAAGCCTGCAGAAATTCTTGTCAACAACAAACCGGTAGATTTTATGTTTGATAATGACTTGGAAACTTGTCAAATTAAAAATCAATCCTTTTTAACTTTAAGTAAAGAATTTATAATCAAATGGAGATTTTGATTATCTTTCACACTTCCTTCTTTTTACATTGCTCTTCATCATTCAGATTATTTTAAATGGAATATATTATTTAGCTACCAGAAGTTATACAAATAATTGTGCATCATTTTATAAATGCGACTTCAATTAACTGAATACATTACTTCTTTCTTTACTGTTATATAGTCATCAAAGTGTTTTGTTGTTGATTGGTTTACTTACTTTTTAATCATGATTGCCTTGTTTTCTTTTCAGTAACTTATTCTTAAGGAGTAATATTGATTGTTTATTCAAATAACTTTGATTATTTATATGTTGAATTAAATTTGTTCTATTGATAATTCTAATTTTTCTAAAATAACATCAAGATTGACATCAGTATCATTTATAGTATTATTATTTACCAGAGAATAGTCTAGAAATTCTGTTGCGGTTAATACTGTTGTTTCTAACTTTATTGACCTTGAAGACTTTTAATTTTAGAGATATTTTAATCATGAGATTAAAGCTGATAAATAATCCACTGATTGTGAGGACAAAATGAACAACTGTTTCGTTCTAGCTTGTGACTCTTCGGAAATGTGCACCCGTGGACCCTCCAGGGATTAAATTAATATGTTGTCCGGTTGTCTGCGTCTAATACTAATATATGTGCTTCTTATATTCGTAGCCAAAACAGCTAATTGAGTGAGAATATCTATGGTATATGTCTATTACCTTGAAAATTGAGTCAAATCTTGATCAGTAATGTCCACATATCAACATTTATTACTTATTATTTGACCGATGCCTGACTGGCCTGGCGTTTCATAAAATCAGGACACTGAAGTACTACAGGAGCACCATTCTTTTAGACTGGTATACTAGAATCCGTTGGTTTGTATTTTCAGCGATAAAGCACTGTACATGTTCTATAAACCCCAATTTAAGTCCCAACGGCTCTTCTTGTTCTTCTAAATCTTTCCAGCCGAAATCAGTTACTGTTCAGTTATATTTTCTAAAAAGTATTTCCGTGACACGACTCAGTTATTAAAATGCATGTAATCGTCTCCACTGTAAGTACTTCTGCCAGTTTAATTTTCAAAGCTGTTGGATATGGAAAGCATTGTTGAGGTATTTCGGGTTGATGATGGAACATCATAATTAATGCCCTGTGTAACTAACTACATGTTTGTTATATCATCTGGAATATCCATAATAAAACACTTATACTAGCTTACGATAAACGAGACAACAATAATGAGACATGTCTGCTTCATGGGGAAATTTATTGCCATTAAAACTAACCATAACTTAAACTGAGAATACATAAAATCCTTTAGAAATCCCTATGTCCGTACAACATTCGTTAATATATGGGAAAATAAACCCAGAAATAACTGGGTGTAAACGAAGATATGACATCAAGCAGTACTTAAGTACATCGTCTTTCACATCCTGAAACTATTAGCATTCGGGATATTTGTTATAACCCAGTGAAAATTAAATTACAGGTAACTTCCGAAGACTGTTAATAGACTAATGTTCTATAAATATTCTTATTGTATAATTATTCAACAATTACATTACGTATATTTATATTCCTCTTATTATAAGCTTTATTTTGACCTATAATTAATTATTATACGATTTACGGTTCTTAATCTGTGTTCAGTCTATTAATTACTATCTCCCACGTTCACAGCCACTTTTTGGCTTATTTGTGTACACATGTTATTTTCTATTTTATGGTACGTTGTGGTCTGTCTGGTTGATATATAAACCAGGTATGTCTGAAATAAACGATCTGCTCTGATTCGATTCATATCACAGAAGCTGGTGTTGTGTTCTGGACTCAGGTGGAAGGGACTGGAGGACATAGGACCAATAAGGACACTAAACTGCTCATGCCGGTTGAACGTCATTGGTTTGCCATAGTGCGAAATCGTATAAGTCGTATTCTGATTGGTCGATAAGTCGCGTGATAGCAAAGCCAGACATTCAAGGTCATAACAATATTTAGTAGATGGGCAGTGTAATAATGGTCTGGTTGTCAACCTATTACCGGTTAAGATGTGTGGTCATTTGGCTTAGGTAGGTTGGGATTAAAATCACACATAATGATGATTCACGTTGAGCAACCCTAATTTTGGGAAAAAATCCTCCTTCTTTCTTGAAACTTGCTATTGTACGTGAGTAATTACAGCCAATATCTCTCAGTGGAGGTTGAAAAACTGATAAGAATATGTTTCACTGTGAACATCATAGACCAGTATATAACTCCTTCTAGCACCCACTGAGTATTCGAAATCTAGCAAAAGTTATTAATTAGTCGTTTTCCTCCTATAACATAAGGGGTAGGCTAGAGAAAGAACTGGCTATCGAGAATTTATTACTTTCAGTAATCCAAATATTTAAAATAGACGACCAAGGTATAATGTTCATCGGCAGAATAGTTGGTTTGTACCAGACTGAACACATTTTAATAAATATTGGAGGTGAACATTACGGATCTTACATGTACATGGAACATATAGGAAAATTTTATTAAATCAGTATCTAATTTTAGATGCATTGTCTTAGCATTACGCAAAGATAACTAGTCGGATAACTAGCTCGTGTTTAGATTCATGTGCACACCCCTAAACGTACAGGGTTAGTAAGCCTAACGAATTATTCATACCAGTGGAATATCGTAATCGTTTTAGACTCCTACAAAAACGTTACTTTAAGTCAGATGATTTTATAACAGCTGCACAAAAGAAAGTAATTTTTAACCAAATTAAACAAAAGTGGAGGTTACAAGCCATTAATGAGGTGTTAATAGCACATAATAATAGCTCAACAGTACAAAACTTAATTCTCCATTCCGTTAAACGATTTAAAGCATCGCAAAATGCAGATACACAGTGCATCTTGCATAATGGTACATTTATGGACGACTCTAAAACCACTCCAGACATTTCCAATGGTATTTTCGAAAACAATAGTGAATTACTAAATGACACTGGTTCAAAAATCATGTAAGTGACTTGTAACTACATAAAATCTGTTTCCTTCACTTATCGAAAAATGAGAAAACCTATGAAATCCCTCAAGGTGTAAAACGGTCATGGAGTGGACAGGATTGTATCGATTTACTTCAAATATGGTGGGTCTGATATTCCACTACTTCTTCTACAACCGTTTGCTCTCTTTCCGGAGACAGGTACCCACGTTTACAGTTGTAAGACCGCATATATCATATCACATTAGAAATCTGGAGATAAGAATGAAATGAACAATTATCAGCCGATGAATATTACTCTATTTATCTCTAAGATGATGGAACAAATTATTTGTGACAAGCTCTCCAACTATTCACACTGAAAAGCTTATCACTGATTCTTAACATGACTTCCTTAAAACTCGACCTTGTATGATCTGCTAGTTTGACTAGTTCAATTTAGTGTTTGTTCGATGTGACCGAGGATATGTAGTTTTAGTGCAGTTCTTCGACATTTCTAAAGTTTTTAACATGATCAATTACCAATTTCTTATAGACAGACTCTGATCTCAGAGGGTCGAAAACTCTCTGTTTACTTGGTTTGATTGTTTCCTCAGTCACCGACTTGAAATGTTCAAAATGAAGTATTCCTCGTCGGATGCAGTGTCGGTCAAAATTGGTGTGATATAAGGTGTTGTCTTAGGTTATTTTCTCCTTTTAGTTGATAAAAATGATATTCGCGATTGTTTCTGTATGGTTAATCCTCTTTTATATACAGATGATCTTGAAGTGGTGTATTAATTTTCTCATCATGAGATCCATTAATTGAACCCAGACAGTTCTTAAATATTTTATGCTGTTTGTACGTTACTACTGAATGTTTTCAGTAGTCAAGCTAGTTAAACAAAACTATTATGCACTCAGTCAGATCATTGAAAACCTGGAAACACTGGACGGCCGTTTAGTCTTATTGTGGTATTCCTCGGCAGTGCGCATCCACGATTTCACTCGTGGGATTCGAACCCAGGGACTTCAGTCTTTTGCTCTATACTGCTCGAATCATATTGAAACATTCACTAACAGATCAAAGTACCAATAACATAATGCAGTTACTTGAGCCTCTATTACTTTTAATCATAAGAGAAGCTTTCAAAAACTATTAAATTATGCTCTGGAGCACTTAATGATGCATGAAACAGGACTTAGTTAGCATTTTAATTAATTCTTTAGTGATAATTTATGTATTGTCCTGAATCTATTACATTTGTTAACTAAACAATACAACATAGTAACAAAATACAGATTCATATACTGAATTTCAGAACACACTTTATATGTGGGAGATGCTCAAAACAGGAGTGTAAAGAGGAGGTTTTAAACCTGTGACTTGATTATTAAAAGTCCAGTTTATCGTGTCATTTTTTCAAATGGAGGCTTTCTCCATTATTTTAACGAAGTTATGGGGCTGAAATTGAATATGAGACCGAAAGATAAGTACAAATAAATGCATCACAATTTAAACTGGGAATATACTACTCATACGCATTACCTCTCATTTATGACACTAACACAAATTAATAAAGTGCATCGAGGAGTGAAAACGACCAATTCTGTTTCATACAATCAAATTCTAGTGGAAAACACCAAAAATAGTGTCATGTTTTTTGAGTGCATCGTTTTTTACATGTTCTCACTTTAGCTACTATCTTGAATGGGTAATCGAGAAAAGTTATGATAACTAAATCAAATTAGCGCTTGCTACGTGATGCAGTCTGATGATTCTCCATCTTATAATTATGCAAATTATTAGTAAATTACTCAAAATGACCTATACATATAGTTATCAATAAAATCATAATTAAACGAACAGATTACAAGGTCACTGTATAGGTCAAGTCAAACACTTTAAGTGAAACGAGATAAAATATAATAAAATTGTAAGAAGACAATTCATTTGTTAAGTTTTATACCATAGAAAAAAGAATAGAAGACTGAACTATTTCAAAATCACTTATGTCATATTTTACTTTTTTGTAAAATTACTGGGCTCTTACATAAAATGTGAAAACCATAAAATCAATACTTTATTTACAAATCCTACATAAATTGTTTCCAAATTGATCGTTCCTTCATTTCCATAACAATCACTCTATGTTTCCGTTCTCTTTCATTCGACTTTACCAAGTTTCTACTGCTAGGCATTTCACTTTTGATTGGTGTTATATACTATTTATATCAATGTAAGTAGCATACATCACAACAATAGACATGATAACTTGAATAATATTATAATGCAAGTGATATGAATTACTATATATGCATCTGTTGCTTACGTTGCTCCACTACCTTGTGGATCAGACCTTCAGGTCGAAGGCTCCGGGTGTGGCCCTCGAAGAGCATCACCTACTTCAGTTTGGGTACCCGGGCAGTATCACAGCTCTCGCATATATCAAATGAAATTTGATTCCAGTCCAATCATGTAGTATTCAAGCGATATACAGACAACTAAAATGATGAAATACCAATTTTCTTTGAATGTTTTTTTTATATTCATTTACTTATTTAAACATTTATAATATCTACATTATGTGTGCCTTTAAAATAAGGAGAAGTTAAAGAAGAACTAACAATTATTTCATACCATTAAACGAATGCATATTTATTCCTTTAAAGAGGAAATGGATATGAGATATTATAAAATGTATTTACAGTAGTACCGTAGTGAACAAGAACACGTGTGTGGGACAATCGAATGTATTTAACACGAAATTAAAGAGCATCCCGAAAAAATCTGAGAATCATATTGTAAATAGTTAATTCGTAAAATATCAATCTATCGTTTCAAACTTCACTGTTCCTTTTGTAAATATCAGTCCATTGTCTCAGACTTCATTGTTCATGCATTTTCATACCAACGGTGTTCCGTTTCTGTTCTTTCCTTATTAATCTTCTACTGGAATACATTCTACGCCTAACCACAGTTACATACTACTTATGTGAATATAAGTAACCCACACTACAGTACTACTAATATTGTATAAAATTTATTTATCAATATTCAAGAGGTTAATATTAAAATTTGAAAAAAGAAAAAAAACTTTTTATCAGTATTTTCTTTTTTTGGTAATAATTTAATTTTATGTTTAACATAGTTGCCAAATATTTTAGTAATAATGGTAGGAACTATTTTGAATTAATATTGAATTCATTTTTAGTCATTTAATTATGATTATTTAGGATGTATGTATATTAGATAGTTAGAGGTAGTTATAAGAATACTCTGGATCTACCTTTATGTGCTAATTAGTACTTATCAGGAAAGTGTACCTGCAATCTTTGTGATAATAATACTCTATGTAAGATTTAGATCTACTTTAATTAGTTTCATAGACTGAGAAGTTGTTAATGAGTTACTCAGGCTATATCACAACTTTATCGATAGAATTTTATTATTGTTAAAGTAGGAGATAAACATAACCTTTGGTCATTACTGCTTGATCGATCAATTGTATAGTGTTTAGAAAACATGATATGCTTTATAAGCATTCTCTTAATTAGACAAACTTTACAGTCATAACATGCTTAACATCTGCAGGTGATAAAAAACAATGAGGTTTTTATGTAATCACTTGGTTTTATCAATACCATCCTAGTGGAACTAACAATTCTTTAGAGATTCAAACTCTAATAATTCAGTGCCATAGATAGAGATGTTATCACACAGTTATGTGAGTTGTTTATAGTTTTGATTTTGTAGTGATCTTATTTTAAATCTAGTCTTACAGATATAATATTATTCACACTTGTTTTGCATCTCTCAGATTCTAATTTACAAAGAAATTTAC